CCCGTAGATCCCGGCCCCAAAGAAATATAAAACATGGCCCAAAGATCCCGGCCCCAGAGATCCGTGGGGCACAGCCCCATAGATCCCAGCCCCAGAGATTCCAGCCCCATAGAAATATAAAACATGGCCCCATAGATCCCGGCCCCACAGAAATATAAGGCACGGCCCCATAGATTCCAGCCCCGTATTTCTGTGGGGCACGGCCCCATAGATTCCAGCCCCATAGAAATATAAAACATGGCCCCATAGATTCCGGCCCCATAGATCCGTGGGGCACGGCCCCATAGATTCTGGCCCCATAGATCCCAGCCCCACAGCTCCCAGCCCCATATAGTTGTGGGGCATGGCCCCATAGATCCCAACCCCATAGATCCCAGCCCCACAGCTCCCAGCCCCACAGCTCAGTGGGGCACAGCCCCATAGCTGCTAACCCCATAGCTCCCAGCCCCATAGAACCCAGCCCCATACAGTTGTGGGGCATGGCCCCATAGCTCCCAACCCCATAGATCCCAGCCCCACAGATCAGTGGGGCACAGCCCCATAGCTCCCAACCCCATAGATCCCGGCCCCACGGACCAGGGGGGCACAGCCCCACAGCTGCCAGCCCCACAGATCAGTGGGGCACAGCCCCATACATCCCAGCCCCATAGATCAGTGGGGCACGGCCCCACAGCTCCCAGCCCCACAGCTCCCAGCCCCATACAGTTATGGAGCATGGCCCCACAGCTCCCAGCCCCACAGCCCCCAGCCCCACAGCCCCCAGCCCCACAGATCAGTGGGGCACAGCCGCATACATCCCAGCCCCACAGATCAGTGGGGCACAGCCCCATACATCCCAGCCCCACAGATCAGTGGGGCATGGCCCCACAGCTCCCAGCCCCACAGCCCCCAGCCCCATACAGTTATGGGACATGGCCCCACAGCTCCCAGCCCCATAGATCCCAGCCCCATAGATCCCAGCCCCACAGCCCCCAGCCGCTCACTTTTGATCTTCTCCTGCTTGGCCTCCCACTCCTGGCGCAGCTCCTCCCGCAGCCGATTCT